ATGCTGTGGTCTACTGGTTACCATCGTCCTAAGTGTTGGACATTTTCATGAGTTATTTAAAACATTAAAGTGTGATAGGAACCATCATTTGTAGGAGTCCCACAAAAGCTACGCATCCTTCAGAAAAATATATTGGTTTTGTCTTTTTCAACATATCTTTGATAAAACAATAATAACCACCGTGGTTTTTACACTGTGTGTGCGATGCATGGATTCAGCTCAGGCAGCTTGTCAGGATCATCAGAACAGAAGTGAAACGTCTTGTTTTCATCCAAAGACACAGTTTTTGTTCTATTTTTAAATGATTTTTCTKCAAACAAAYACTGAAGAATTATTTAATGTTTAGTGGAAATGACTGCACACACACATAAGAGTTCTGATTAGAAATTTGCTTTATTGATTCATTAAACAGGTGCAGCCATTCTAGCTGCTATAGTTATATGCGAGAGGCACAAATGGAGGGATATTGCCCAGAACATTTAGAATCATTCCATTTTTTCTCCTTCTCAAAGCTGGTGTGCACACAGTGCTCAGACCTTCCACTGTTGTTTGGTTCTCCTGAAGCCCAGTATAGGAATTTCACCACAGATCCATCAGACCACATCCATCTTCCTTCTTTATGAATGTCAGAGAGTCCGATCCAGGTTTCTCCCTTAGAGTGATCAAAGTTATTGATCAGGGCGTTGACAAAGTCGTGCTCTCCCTTGCTGCGGATGGACACCAGGTTGCTGTTCTCTGACAGGCAGTAGAGCTCTGCATCAGCCCAGCTCAGGCGCGTGGCGACGTACTTGTAGCAGCGACCGTTGAAGCTGTACCAGAACATGGGACAGTGTCCTCGCTGCAGCTTCAGCTCCTGTCCATCTGAAGGAGACACAGCAGCCAGAGCCAGAACAAACAMGGAGAGGAACAGCATCATGCTGGGGTTTAGAGTCTGACAGCTTCCAGTGATGGGATGGAGGTGGACAAGAATCCTGCAGAGTCTGAGGACCAGCTGCTGCTTTTATATCCCTCAGAGAGGGAGCCTGATGTGTTGCTGTGATTTCATTGGTCAGAACATCTGGTCACATATTCATCTGTCCCACCTGCARCAATAAATTACAATAGAATGATCAGCAGGTGAAACTTTATAACTTTTATATATATCTATAAAACATATGGCAGCTGTCTAATTATCTGAACAAATACTGAGAACATCATCAAACATGGGCAGGTGTTTACATATTAACAGGACATCCGACTCAGCTAAAACCAYATATTCTCTTCATAATTAACTAAAGTTTCGTTTCAATCATTTCTCTATTTTTCTCTCATTCACATCACTATCGCTAACCTACAAATAAAATATGTTGCAAGTTTTAGGACTATAAGAAATGTATTATATGTGAGAATTTTGATGTTTTTTATTCCTTTTGTTCATAAGTCTTCCTATGAAGTGTTGTTTTATTCATCATAATTCTGTGTTTACTGCATTTTAAACATGCGGATATCACTGAGTTTAATCTCTGCTAAACTTCTCGGGAGGTTCAAAATTCTGGATCAGGACTGTTTGATAC